AACACCAGCAATCAACAGCCAATTATTGCACAACTATATTCTACCCACCTCAAGACTCCGCTCCAATATAGAAGCATCAAGAAATATGGACCAATAGGCTTTCTACAAACACTTCTATTCAATACCCATTGTTTCTGTTCTGTCTTGTGTTGATACTTTTAATACCCTATTAATATCCCCTAGTGTTCTGTCTTGTGTTAATGCCACATCACCCTTCCCACCTCACTCAAATGTAATGCCACATCACCCTTCCCACCTCACTCAAATGTAGATATAAAATCAGGGAAACGCAAGTTCTAATCAGTTGTGTATTTGTGAAGACTTTGAAAATGTAATAAGTTTTACGAAACGCGCCCGTGTCGCGTCAGACTAGAAATAAAATGAATTTTGGAGAAGTGATTTTTGATTTACCTCCAACAGTGAAGCGTAATGTACGAAAGATTGAGAAAATTCGTGTTAGAATTATTAATCTTACTTTTTCGGTCATATTTAATAATATATATATATATATATATATATATATATATATATATATATATATATATATATATATATATATATATATATATATATATATATATGGTACTGCTGAGTAATGAGTGCGGTGGTGACTGGAGGCTGGTAATCACCTCTGTGGGTGGGTATATAAGGGTCGTTAAGGATCAAACTATCAGCTTGTTTAATAGTGTCCTCGTCGGATCAAGTGGTACGCCTGGCAACCCTGTACCAGGTCAAGTGGTACGCCTGGCAGCCCTGTACCAGGTCAAGTGGTACGCCTGGTGGCAGCCCTGTACCAGGTCAAGTGGTACGCCTGGCAGCCCTGTACCAGGTCAAGTGGTACGCCTGGTGGCAGCCCTGTACCAGGTCAAGTGGTACGCCTGGCAGCCCTGTACCAGGTCAAGTGGTACGCCTGGCAGCCCTGTACCAGGTCAAGTGGTACGCCTGGCAGCCCCGTACCAGGTCAAGTGTACGCCTGGCAGCCCTGTACCAGGTCAAGTGTACGCCTGGCAGCCCTGTACCAGGTCAAGTGGTACGCCTGGCAACCCTGTACCAGGTCAAGTGGTACGCCTGGCAGCCCTGTACCAGGTCAAGTGGTACGCCTGGTGGCAGCCCTGTACCAGGTCAAGTGGTACGCCTGGCAGCCCTGTACCAGGTCAAGTGGTACGCCTGGTGGCAGCCCTGTACCAGGTCAAGTGGTACGCCTGGCAGCCCTGTACCAGGTCAAGTGGTACGCCTCGCAGCCCTGTACCAGGTCAAGTGGTACGCCTGGTGGCAGCCCTGTACCAGGTCAAGTGGTACGCCTGGTAGCCCTGTACCAGTCAAGTGTACGCCTGGCAGCCCTGTACCAGGTCAAGTGGTACGCCTGGCAGCCCTGTACCAGGTCAAGTGGTACGCCTGGCAGCCCTGTACCAGGTCAAGTGGTACGCCTGGTGGCAGCCCTGTACCAGGTCAAGTGGTACGCCTGGTGGCAGCCCTGTACCAGGTCAAGTGGTACGCCTGGAGGCAGCCCTGTACCAGGTCAAGTGGTACGCCTGGTGGCAGCCCTGTACCAGGTCAAGTGTACGCCTGGCAGCCCTGTACCAGGTCAAGTGTACGCCTGGCAGCCCTGTACCAGGTCAAGTGGTACGCCTGGTAGCCCTGTACCAGGTCAAGTGTACGCCTGGCAGCCCTGTACCAGGTCAAGTGGTACGCCTGGCAGCCCTGTACCAGGTCAAGTGGTACGCCTGGCAGCCCTGTACCAGGTCAGTGGTACGCCTGGTAGCCCTGTACCAGGTCAAGTGGTACGCCTGGCAGCCCTGTACCAGGTCAAGTGGTACGCCTGGCAGCACTGTACCAGGTCAAGTGGTACGCCTGGCAGCCCTGTACCAGGTCAAGTGGTACGCCTGGCAACCCTGTACCAGGTCAAGTGGTACGCCTGGCAGCCCTGTACCAGGTCAAGTGGTACGCCTGGCAGCACTGCACCAGGTCAAGTGGTACGCCTGGCAGCCCTGTACCAGGTCAAGTGGAACGCCTGGCAGCCCTGTACCAGGTCATGATTCAAATGTCAACATAATTCCGAAAGTTAATTAAATTACGATCTTAACAATGCATCAGTTAATGAGATTAGAATAATAGTTATTTGCTGAAGCAATAAAGGAGAATATATTGTAATATAAATATTAAAATAAGGTGAACTGTGGCATTAGGGTACAATATATGCCATATAAACCTTTATCTCCGGTGGCGGATTATTAATTACTTTTAATTACTACACTGATGCAAAGTTGTAATTCCTTTCTAATTACAATTATTAAGAGCAGAGGAATGGGGTAATGAGACGATCAGCAGGATGAAGACTGGAGAGACGCACAGACAGACACAGACGGCGTACATAGCTGGATGAAAACTAAATTGTGGAACACGTCTAAATGATTTGTAAACACAAACACGCGCATACGTACACACACACACACACACACACACACACACACACACACACACACACACACACACACACACACACACACACACACACACACACACACTTACTCTCCCCAGAGTAAGGGGAGACATGATCACAACCTACAAAATCCTCAGAGGAATCGACCGGGTAAACAAGGATAAACTATTCAACACTGGTGGGACGCGAACAAGGGGACACAGGTGGAAACTGAGTACTCACATGAGCCACAGAGACGTTAGAAGGAACTTTTTCAGTGTCAGAGTAGTTAACGGATGGAATGCATTAGGCAGTGATGTAGTGGGGGCTGACTCCATACACGTTTTAAATGTAGATATGATAGAGCCCAATAGGCTCAGGAATCTGTACACCAGTTGATTGACAGTTGAGAGGCGGGACCAAAGAGCCAAAGCTCAACCCCCGCAAGCACAAATAGGTGAGTACAAATAGGTGAGTACACACGCACACACACACACACACACACACACACACACACACACACACACACACACACACACACACACACACACACACACACACACACAAACGATAACAAACGCAGTGTTTCCACAGGACTATTATGTTATTAGGAAAGAGAGAGAAGGAAGAGGTGGGGGTGGTGTAGCTCTGCTGGTAAGAAAAGGCTGGGATTTTGAGGAGTTGGTTGTTCTGGGATGTGAAGGTTTCAGTGACTACATAACAGGTACCATAACAACTGGAGGGCAAAAAATTATAGTCGTAGTCATATATAATATACCACCAAATGACAGAAGACCCAGACAGGAATATGATAAAAACAACATGGCCACCATTAACATAATAGAGAGCAGCTTCTGTTGCTAGCAGGAATGGATCTGGACTACTAATTATGGGAGACTTCAACCATGGAAAGATAGATTGGGAGAAGAGAGACCCGCATGGAGGACCAGAAACATGGAGAGCTAAGCTGCTGGACGTGGCAACAAGAAACTTTCTAAGCCAGCACATCAAGGAACCAACAAGAATGAGAGGAGAAGATGAACCAGCAATGCTTGATTTGGTATTTACCCTACATGAGTGGGATATAAGGGAAGTTAAGATGGAAGCACCCTTGGGAATGAGTGATCACAGTGTACTGAACTTTGAGTACCTGGTAGAGCTAGGAATTATCTCCCCCAAAAAAGAACTAGGAAACAAAAGGCTGGCATACCGAAAGGGGAATTATGAACAGATGAGAAGTTTCCTAAGTGAAATACCTTGGGACACAAACCTCAGAGACAAGTCTGTACAGGGTATGATGGACTACGTCACCCAAAAGTGTCAGGAGGCAGTAAACAGGTTTATCCCGGCCTAAAGGGAAAAATCCGAGAAGCAAAATAAGAATCCATGGCATAATAGGGCATGCATGGAAGCAAAGGGGCTGAACAAAAAGGCGTGGAGGAACTTCCGGAATAACAGAACACCAGAAAGCAGAGAGAGATACCAGAGAACCAGGAATGAGTACGTCAGGGTGAGAAGAGAAGCAGAGAAAAGAGAAGCAGAGAAAAGTTCTGAAAATGATATAGCAATCAAAGCCAAGACCGAACCAAAGCTACTCCACAGTCACATCAGAAGGAAAACAACAGTGAAAGAACAGGTATTGAAACTTAGAACAGGCGAGGACAGGTATACAGAGAATGATAAAGAGGTGTGTGAAGAACTACACTTTCGCTAGTGTAGAGTACGCTGCTGTCGTTATCCTATTTATATGTGTCTCAGGAGTTAGATTAGGTGTTACGATATAGTATTTACCATAGTGACCCCGATATAGTGTCTACCATAGTGACCCCGATATAGTGTTTACCATAGTGACCCCGATATAGTGTCTACCATAGTGACCCCGATATAGTGTTTACCATAGTGACCCCGATATAGTGTCTACCATAGTAACCCCGATATAGTGTTTACCATAGTGACCCCGATAAAGTGTCTACCATAGTGACCCCGATATAGTGTCTACCATAGTAACCCCGATATAGTATTTACCATAGTGACCCCGATATAGTGTCTACCATAGTGACCCCGATATAGTGTCTACCATAGTGACCCCGATATAGTATTTACCGTAGTGACCCCGACATAGTGTCTACCATAGTGACCCCGATATAGTGTCTACCATAGTGACCCCGCCATAGTGTCTACAATAGTGACCCCGACATAGTGTCTACCATAGTGACCCCGACATAGTGTCTACCATAGTGACCCCGATATAGTGTCTACCATAGTGATCCCGATATAGTGTCTACCATAGTGACCCCGACATAGTGTCTACCATAGTGACCCCATTATAGTGTCTACTATAGTGACCCCGATATAGTGTCTACCATAGTGACCCCTGATATAGTGTCTACCATAGTGACCCCGATATAGTGTACCATAGTGACCCCGATATAGTGTCTACCATAGTGACCCTGATATAGTGTCTACCATAGTGACCCCGGTATAGTGTCTAGTGTCTACTATAGTGACCCCAATATAGTGTCTACCATAGTGACCCCCGATATAGTGATGTAACTAATAATAATAATAATGTCCCTTTCAGAGGCCACGATGTGGAGTGGTGACCACTGCTAGGAGAGGTATGTTGACCCCCCCCCCCCCACGCTCATCCCTCAACACCTGCATCTACTGTCTACCTTGTCTACCAATACGAGTATCTACCGTCTACCTTGTATATACACCTGCTGGGAATATATTACAAATAAAAAAGATTCAGGTGTGCTATTAATCAGTAGCGAGCCAGAAGCACAGGTGGACCTTTGATGCTAATTGTAATTGGTTCCTAATTATTGTTGGATTAATTTAAGGGAAGGGAAGTATCAGGGTAAGCGCCAAGCCATCACGACTATATAGCACAGGGAAGGGATCAGGATCAGGATTTGGGGTGGGACGGAGGGGGGGAATGGTGATCTATGTGTTTTTGTTTTTTTTGTTTAATTTGTTTGTTGATTTGAGAACATGAGGGATCACGTTGTGCGTGTGTATTCACCTAGTTGTGCTTGAAGGGGTTGAGCTCTGCTCTTTCGGCCCGCCTCTCAACTGTCAATCAACTGGTATACAGATTCTTGAGCCTATTGGGTTCTATCATATCTACAGTTGAAACTGTGTATGGAGTCAGCCTCCACCACATTACTTCCTAAAGGTGTGTGTGCATGTGTAATTACCTAAGTGTAATTACCTAAGTGTAGTTACAGGATGAGAGCTACGCTCGTGGTGTCCCGTCTCCCCAGCAGCATGTGTGTGTGTGTGTGTGTGTGTGTGTGTGTGTGTGTTTGTTCCAATTTCCATACAGTTAATTATACCGGAGATCATATAGTGTGGTGCGGGCGTGCGGGCGTGTCAGTAACCGCGCATGCGGGCAATGTTATGTCCTTCCTCTGATCTATGTAGCCACCACACCTGTCTGTCTGCCTGTCTGTCTGTCTGTCTGCCTGTCTGCCTGTCTGTCTGTCTGTCTGCCTGTCTGTCTGTCTGTCTGTCTGTCTGCCTGTCTGTCTGTCTGTCTGTCTGTCTGCCTGTCTGTCTGTCTGTCTGTCTGTCTGTCTGCCTGTCTGTCTGTCTGCCTGTCTGTCTGTCTGTCTGTCTGCCTGTCTGTCTGTCTGTCTGTCTGTCTGTCTGCCTGTCTGTCTGTCTGTCTGCCTGTCTGCCTGTCTGTCTGTCTGTCTGTCTGCCTGTCTGTCTGTCTGTCTGTCTGTCTGTCTGTCTGTCTGTCTGTCTGCCTGTCTGTCTGTCTGTCTGTCTGTCTGTCTGCCTGTCTGTCTGTCTGTCTGCCTGTCTGTCTGTCTGTCTGTCTGCCTGTCTGCCTGTCTGTCTGTCTGTCTGTCTGTCTGTCTGTCTGTCTGTCTGTCCTTCTTAACAAATAATGTACACATTCATCTACAAACACACGGAGTAATACATATACAAACATTATATTAATGAGTTATACACTCATTACCATAGTAACTCACATACTCACAGCCTTACTCATACATTTATTTACTTATTCTCTCTCTCACACACACACACACACACACACACACACACACACACACACACACACACACACACACACACACACACACACACACACCACACTCCACAAGCCACAAGCACCACACAACAAACTGTAGACAAACACCAAACAAAGGGTTCCCCCTCCCCCCCCCACCAGGTGACACAGGTGTCCCCCTGTCGGTGTGACACGCTAATTA